TGAGTGATCATTGCAAAAAATGTGTTTATGTATATATATTCTGTTTATGTATATACTGTATTCTATATATAGTACCAGTCAAATGTTTGGACCCTCAAATGGGAAAGTATCTAAACTTTTGACTGGTACTGTACTATAATATACACAAAGAATATCGGCTGATATATCGATATCGGCCTTTTTTACTCCCTAATATCGGTATCGGCCCTGAAAAACCCATATCGGTCAGGCTCTAGTTCTGATCTACTCATGTCAACAGGTCGCATTAACTAGCAGTTGTATTTTACCTGCGCGTGAGCCTCTTGCTGGCTGATGAAACTATCTGCAGAAAGTCTTAGTTTGGCCACACGCGTGTCCCAGATGTCCTTCACCAGGGTTCGAATCTCATCGGCTTTGGGGATGTTATCTGCAGAACTGCACACAAAAAAAAAACACTATTTCAATATTTCAAAGCAGATGCATAAGTGTGCATGAATCATATAGTTAGTTTCAATGGCATTATCATGAAGATTGACAAAAAAAATATGAACGTTTGTTATAACAAGCCAGTTAACTTTGTGTATTGTTGGACTGTTTCACCATGCTTTCAAAGAATATATATTCGATTCAAAATGCTGTATCGTATGTAATGACATCAAACAAACAAAAACAATTAAAAAGCCACAAAACTCTGATTCTGATTGCATGAGGTCTTTTATCTGAACATGCTGAAGGTGATCTGGTACTTACTGGTTGAGTAATAACTTGGCTAGCTCCATGTAATAAGGACTCGGAATGGGAGTGAAAGTGTCTAGTTTTCTCTCCTGTTCACGGATCTCCTCTAGTTTGTCTGGAAACAAAAAGATCATCTGTATTTAGAGATTGTTTCAGGAAAGATGGTATCCCAGCACAGATATGTGATTTAACTCACCGGTGTCCATCCATTCTGGAGGAACTATCCTGCATTTCTGTCTTTGTTTAAGATTGAGGGCCAACCACACAGGGACTTCCACTGGCAGACCCGGGTTAAACGGACCCAGATCTCCCTAAAAGTTTGTTTATACACATCAAGTCATGTATCTGATGCAGTGATCAATGGATGTGACTTAATTAGAATATTGCAAAATGTTTAATACACTAAGACATGGAACAAAAAAGCCTGGGTCGGGCTGTGGACAGTTTATGTTTCAATGAATTATTTGGATTAATCTATTTATAAGTATTGACTGATGTTTTGGGGAAACATACTACTTCCTCCGTTTCCTCATAAGATGTGTTTTTGCTTGCTGTAATTCAATGTGTCAACTGCACCAGAGATTATCATGTTTAGCATTTAATATGAGCTAAACATTAACCACCCAGGGCCAGATAAGAAAATCAGATTTGACAAAATAATGTAGGAGGATTCAATACCGATATAAAGTTGGTTCGACATTTGACATTTGTCAGAGATTAAGCCTCAGAAATCTTCAATAGTTCTTTAACGATTTATCACAAGGACAAGAAACAATGTGTTATAATTGTTTTCAAATGTAGAAGAGAACACACAATGCGTTTTATTTGTTTTAATCTGCCTTAAGGTATTGTAACTGATAGACCTTATAATGTAAAAGTGCAGGATAGGGACCGTCTGCAAAGTGCAAAACGAAGAGCAAAAAGCACAATTATTCCATCTAAATGCTTCACTTGTGAAATGTATAAAAAATAAATCTCAAATATAAGGTGTCTTATTACTGGTTCATACAAGAACATTTATATGTTGGTTTTATTCACAGAACTATATCACAACAAAAGTTATTGAAATGGAACGATTGAGAAAAAGCTTGCAAAACATTACAAAGATTGTGCAGTTTACCGCCCCCTAGAGGAAGATATTGCACTTGTTTTGACCAAGTTTGACATTCAAGCACATGATATTGAAATGTCAACGAATACATCAATCAATGTAAAGTAAATACACTCTTCTATCTTAACTTCAAAGGGTGTGTCTTGTTAGTGGTTCCTAAACAAACATGTAGATGTTGGTTTTATTCACAGAACTATAAGACAACACATGATATTAAAATGTGAACAAATACATAAATTAATTTCCTATAAATGTACTCTTCTATCTCAATTTCTAAGTGTGTGTCTTGATACTTGTTCCTAAAAGAATATTTCATTGTTGATATTATTCACATAACTATAAGACGAAAAAACTTATTGAAATGTAAAAATTGAGAAAAAGCTTAAGATGTGCAGTACACCGCCGCTAGAGGAACACATTGCAGTTGCTTTGACTGAGTTTAAAATTCAGAAATGTGAATAAATTAATTTAAAATACAGAGTCTGACATTTCAACCTCAAAGGGTGTCTTGTTGCTGGTTCATACAACCACATTTCTATGTATCTTTTACATTCATAAGAAAAATTTGATACACGCTATTGCATCAAATTCAAACCAATTAACATTTTTGTAAACATACAGCATTTTATCTCATCTTCAAAGGCTTGTTACTGGTTCATAGAATAACAGTTAGATATTGGTTGAATTTGCCGAACTATAACACACCACATGCTACTGAAATGTAAACACATACGTCAATTAATAAAAAAATACTTTTATTTCAGCTTTATGGGGTGTGTCTTGCAATTTTTTCCTATAATGACATTTAGATGTTGGTTTTATTCACAAAAGTGTAACGCAACAAAAGCTGAGAAAGAGCTCTGGAAGCTTCCCAAAGAGTGTGCAGTACACCGCCCCCTAGAGGAATACATTGCATTTGCTTCGACTGAGTTTGCTATTCAGAAATGTGAATAAATAAATAAAAAATACACAAAGTCTGATATGTCAACTTTAAAGGGTGTCTCTTGTTACTGATTCATAGAACAACATTTACATGCTGGTTTAATGCACAGAACTATAACACCGCACGATATTTAAATGGCAACAAATACATTATTCATTTCTAATAAATACGCTCTACTGTCCCAATTCTAAGGGGTTTGTCGTGTTACTGGTTCATGGAACAACATTTACATGCTGGTTTTAGTCGCGAAACTGCAACAGCAAAAGCTACTGAAATGTAAGGATTGAGCAAAAAGCTCTCAAAGCCTTTCACAGATTGTGCAGTACATCGCCCCCTAGAGGAACATGTTGCATTTGTTAAGACCGAGTTTGACATTCCAAACCCTCTACGGACACCTTGGCAATTGAATCGCCATTGGCTAGTATATTTTTTTGTTTACTCGCCAGACTGCAATACTATACTCATATATATATATACTGATAAGATATTATTATTCTACGAATTCTACTAATAAGAACAATATAAAAACACACCAAGGATTAATGAGCTACTGGATTCATGAATATTAATCAGGTTGTGTGCGTTTGCTCAAACTGATTTGCTGAAATCAAAACCGGGACGATAATAGGTGAGCACCAGCCAATGAGATTGTCGTTTGCGCATTAGTTCCACCTACTACAGGAAAACCCGGCAGTTCTTAAAAGCTGAAGAATTCCAAAGGAATTCTGTGAGTGAAAATATATCTGTGCTAATCATATACTCGGCCTCCAACTCACACACTGGCGAGTAAAATCTGAGAATTTATTAGCCATTGGCTAATATTAGACATCATTTAGATGCCCAGAGTGAAGATTTAGTCGCATATGCGAGTGATTTACCCGATTCAAACTTTTATAAATGAATTTAAAACGCATACAGTTTTCCATCTCAACTTCAAAAGGTGTGTCTTGTTAATTGGGCCTAAAAAAGCATTTCCATGCAGGTTTTACTCTCATTTGTAATTCAGGATACATGCTATTGAATTAAATTAAAATCTGCTAATAAATAAATTTAAAATGCATGCAGTTTTCTTTCTCAAATCCAAAGGGTGTGTCTTGTTACCGACAAATCAAAAGGGTGTGACTTGTTACCGATTCCTAGAAGAACATTTTGATGGTGGTTTTAGCCACAGAACTATAATAGAACACATATTATAGACATTTAAACCAATATATAATTTAGTTTAAAATAAATACAATCTTTTACCTCAGCTTCAAAAGCTGTGTCTTGTTACAAATTTCTCAAAGAACATTTTACAGTTGCTTTCATTGTCAAAAGAGATGCAGAAGTCACGCTATTGACATTCAAGAATAGCTTGCAAAACCTCTTCCTCTAGGGGGCAGTAATACTGGAGACTCTATGGAAGGTTTTGCAAGCGATTCTTGAATGTCAATAGCGTGTTTTCTGCATCTCTTTTGACAATGAAAACTACTGCAAAATGTTTGTCTAGGAATCTCAAAGACACATCCTTTGGATTTGAGAAAGAAAGCTGCATGCATTTTAAAGGGGTCATATGATGCGATTTCAATTTTTCCTTTCTCTTTGGAGTGTTTATTCTGATTTACACATGACAGTAAAACTTGCATGACTTCTAGGATCCAGTAACAAGACACACCTTTTAAAGTTGAAATAGAAGACTATTTATTTTAAATGAATTTTAAAGGTTTGAATTTAAAACTGTAAAATAAAGTAAAACTGTCAAAACAACTGCAGTATCTTCCTCTAGGGGGCAGTAATACTGGGTGTAATAAAACTGTGCGTTATAAATTAACTGATTAAAATTTGATTTTCAAACTCAAGTCAAAACAACTGCAAAATAACACTCTTTGCCAGCTTTGTCTTAAAGGCAGAATAAGTGATTTCTGGTAGCCAATGTTGATATTTGAAATCACCAAAACAAACACGCCCCTACCCCAAAAGGGCCTTGCCCCTATTTTGATAGCTCCGCCCCACATATACGTACGCAACCCAGGCAACGATTAGTTCTGTGAAACAAAGCAAAACCAATGTTACACCGTGTCTACGGACGTGAGCGGCGCGGCGCAACAAATCCCGACAGAAAACTGCTGCCGGGTTCTATTTATGACGTGCTGACACACATTTCAAATGGTTTTCAACGGTCGTTTGACCTCTTTCTCGCGTCCAGTGTAGGCAGACTTTAGTTGTTGTAGACACGGTGTTACTCACCTATTGAGAAGAAACAAAGCAACCTCGGCGTCCGATCGCAGGCCTTCGCTCCTTGAGTTCTCTCCAGCGCTGGAAAGCTGATCCGATATTTACACGTGTCCTACTTCTTGCCTTATCGTTCCGCAGACGTTTTCCTCTTTTGTTTTTTATCCGCCATCTCTATCTTTCTGTCGCTCGGCTCGGCTAATGTCCGTCCCATGCACTGAACGCGCTCTACTCCACATCACGAGTAGACACGCCCCTTATTGCTGATTGGCTACAAGTTTATTTTGCGATTCGGCCCGAATCAGTTTTCTAAAGTGTTTTTGAAAAATCACATACCCTGCCTTTAAATGTTGAATTTCAATACCATGTTTTCTATTAGGCCTATAGTTCTGTGACTAAAACAAATAAAAATGTTCTTATAAAAACAATAACAAAGACATGAGGTTAATACAGAAGAGTGTATTTAAATTTAAATGCATTTATTTATTGGTTTAAATTTCAATAGCGTGTACTTTTTTGGTGTCAAACTTCTGTGAAAACAACGAACATTAAAATGTTCTCACAAGGGCCTGGAATTAGCCTACTGCATAACCACTGGATTATGGAATTATAATGATTTTTAATAGTTTTTCTTTTATTAATATATTTATTAATAGTAATAATATAATAAAAACCACTATCACATATCTTGTTTACAATATTTCTTATTTCAATTCAAGTGAGCGTTATACGTGTTTGTTTTTATATCTTTCAAAGAGCTTGGTGCACAAATTGCTCTTGTTTTGTTAATTGTAAAAAAACATTCCGGTGGGAAACATTAATCGTTTTATCCTTTACGTGTACTTTGTAGACGGTCGACTAGCTGGCCTAAGCGCTAGCTCGCCGGTGCTAGAGACTTTATGCGTTTCAACATATAGAAGACGATTAAAACAAATAAACTGCGATGTGTGTTCAGTTCTACGTTCTAATGCTTTTCAGATACGCCATTTTGTATACAATTATACTCATCCACTAAGAATGTATTGAAGTTTTTCGCGGCTGAATATCTGTCTAATATCCAACGTCAAACGTCGAACCAACTTTATATCGGTGGATTAAATACCTAACTTAGTTCGTTTGTTATGTTTGCAAACAAACTAAACGCATGACACACAGAAACTTACAATAAGCACATTACTGATAAAAAAACATACTCTAGCTGTCATATTTACTCACCCCAATCAAATAGATTTTGTCGAGACTGAAATTCGGGATGATTTTTACCATCTCTTTCTCTGCGAGAAACTCTACCTCCGCTGGATCCATTTTACTGTGGCAGTTTTCCCGCGTATCTCTCAGACGTGTGTCTATGACGTCAGGAGGCGAGGCAACCAAAGCCAAGTACTCCAGAGTCTTTGGTGCAGTCTCTTTCTATGGCTCTGGTGCAGTCTGGACGATGGCTCCGCCTCGCTTAACTGTTATTGGTTTATGCAAAAATATATTGACGCGTTTACAGCTTATTGGTGTAGAGAAGTACGCTTGTTCGGCATTGCTGGGAACGCCCACAAAAACGTCATAACCGTTTATGCCGTGGGGGAAAACAAACCATTCGAAAGGCCTTTCAAGGCTTATTTACGTCGCTCAGTCTGTTCCTCTGGACTCAAAACTAGGTAAAAGTGTTGACCAGCTACTCTTTAATTTTTTATGGAAGCATTCAATACATTATATATCAGAGTTGGTTTGATAAAAACATACTGTTGATCAGTCAGTTAATTAACTCTCAAGGGTTGTTATTTTCATATAAAGAATTTTTAGATCACTTTCAATTTCCTGTCTCTCCAAAAGAATTTTCCATAGTTATGGGGTCTAAACCATCAGGTGTTGTTGCTTTACTGAGAGGTACCCATCCTTTGTCACTGGTTTTTCCTAATTTGGTTGATACTTTTGTTGGTAGATTATGTTTTGCATTTCCATGCAAAAATAATAATAGGATAGTTCGTTCATTATTTCAGCAGAATATTATTACTCTGCCAGCTGTGACTGCTTATTGGAATAATGCAGTGGGTAACATCTGCTGGAAAAAAGTGTGGATGCTTCCTCATACTTATTTACTAACTAACAAAGTAAAGGAGATTTCCTACAAAATAATTCATAAGTTCTATCCTGCAAAGCATTACATGAAAAAATTCAAAAGTGATCTATTAAAACATTTATTTAAAAAATATAGAAATATTAATTTATTATTTAAAAAAAATAATAAATGTATTATTATTACATATAGTAATGGTATTACTATAGTAAAATTATAGGAGGCTGACTATAACCACAGTTTTACTACAAATACCATGGTTAAACTAAGGTTAGTGTAGCAAAACATGTTGTTTTTACCATGGTTTAACTATAGTAACCAATAACCATGTTTTTTGGTATTTTATATACATATTTTCAT